GACTTTTGAACCAAATATCCTTTTATACTTTTTGAATTTTGTTTCTTGTGCTTGCATTATCTAGTCAAAAAAGGAAAAAAAAAAAAAAAGACTAAGCATCTTCCCTTCTTAAAATGAACTCCAAAAATAGACACCTATAATTTATAAATCTTTTCAACGTTTCCATTTCTTTGTGGCATCTCTGAGAATTGATTCTCAGCCCCCGTGAATGGTTCTCACTTGTCTGCCTCCCCGTTGCCCCTCCTCACAGACCTTCTTCCCGCCAGATGCGGGAGCTTGCTGCTACTCAGGCATCAGATTCAGCGCATTTCGACAGGAGGCGCGGACCTAGCCCTGCCAGTTATTGTATTTATGTAGCCAATTTAAGCAACTTAGCCTTTGTAATTTGATATTTGAGTGGCTGAAGCATCTTGTTATTTCTGAACGTTTGGGATTACCCTCCCTTTTGTGCTTTTTTGTAAATGGAAGGTTTTTCTGATGACATTCTAATCTTCCCCCACCCATGTGCCCTGCATGGAAAATTGAACACTGTCCATCTTGCTCTGTGCAGAAGGATAGAGACTATTAGGCATTTTAATGAAATTATGTGTACTCTTAGGAGCTCTGCAACATTTAAACCTTTCTGTACCAATGACAGTCACTTAGCCTGAGGCTTCCTAGGCTGTTTGGCTGGGAGAAAAAAAAAAACAAAAACCTGAGCATTTTCAGTTACTAAATTAACCCCTGGAAATTGGTCCAGTTTGAGAGTTCCCCTCCAAGAGGTCATGGATGTCTTAGAACTTGTGGTATTTTCGCTAGAGGCAGCAGCAGGCTACATGGGTCTCGTTGACACTTGTCCCATTCATTTGTTTAAACGTTCCTTTGGGCTTGGCCAGGGGTTTCTGGGGGACATGGAACAGTCACCCCCTGGGGAGAGAGCTGATTCTCAGGGACATGTGGATGCATAGTGAGACTGTCTCACAATTTGCGAGACACGGTGAGAGAAAGAAGAGGATTTTGAGAAGGAGAGAATGTTAAAATGAGAACATCCGGCAGGCAGAGGAGTTTGTAATCCTAGCAAGCCCTGGGGGCGGGAGCTGCGGTGGTTGGTAACTCCTGCATAACCTGTAGTTACGTGAGAAACGGAATTTCTGCGGCATGCTCGGCATCCGGGCGCTCGGTGTCCACCCAGGATGAGCAGCCTTGTGACCGTCCTCTGGGCAGATGGCCAGGAAGTGGAGGTAGCAACGTGATGCCCCTCTCCTTTTACTGCTGTGCGGGCACCATGTCAGCGCGGGGGTTGCTGGGAAGTGACCCACACATCCCTCCTGTAGAATCTCTTCTGTACGGCGGAGTGGAGTCTGGAAGCATGGAATAGACTGATTTTCCAGGTAGCTACATGCAAACGGAGGGAGATTGGATGTTCCAGCTGCTGTTGGACAGAGGGACCCAAGGTTGGAAACTGGCCGCTGCGTTCATAAGGATTCTGTCACTTCCGCTCCAGGTGGCTGACTGGAGATACACATAGACTTGTTTTGAATCCTAGTTCTGCCACTTAGCAGCTTGGTGAACCCTGCGCAAGTTACCTGCCCTGTGTTCCCTTCCCAGCCCCTGCCCCTTTTCCATATTTAAATATTGTGTTTCCAGAATCAAAATGATATAAAAATAATTTTTTCTGTCTTCATTGGGGTATTGTTGACGAATAAGAATTGCCTAAGGTGTCTGCCCTTGGTTTCTTTATTGGTAAAATTGGGATTAAAATAGCTTGGGGCAAGGTGGAAGCGTTCGTGAAGAGGCTCGCGGTTTGTGGGCTGCTGGTGTTACTGAGGACCTTCCCTCCTGTCCCCACCTCACAATCAGATGCCGTTGTGGGTTCTTCAGGCTTTGCCAATGGGAAATTCCCCAGCTTCCCAAGGAGCGGGACTGCTTTGCTGGCTGGGAGGGAATGGGCCTGCTGTGCTGTGGACTGGGTCACTTCTGTGCTAATCTAGCATCTGTCACTGGTCTAAGGTGACGCTGGTTCCAAAGCAGATGCCCTCTGGGTGTCTTGAATGCCCAGGAAGCGGGCCCCTGGGAGCCTTCCCAGCTCCCCTTCTGGCTTTCTGCCCACCCACAGGAGGCTCAGGTGTGTGCTCTTCCTACACCATTTTCTGACACAGGATGATCAGAATCCAGGCGCTTGCGTTGCCTGCTCTAGCGTCACATGGTGTGGATTGGAAAATACCCTTCCTGCCTCTCGAGCCCGGTCCCGGCGAGCATACACCCAGCACTGGGCCGTGGGCCCCACCAGTCAGCCCCAGTCCCAGCCCGTCTGAGTGCCGCCTCCTCAGCTCCATGCTGCTCGCTGGGAAAATACAGTTGGGCAGATAAAATATTAGATAACCGTGCTGGCCTTGCTCAGCACTGTGGTTCTGTCTGCTGTGTTTTTTTCACCCACACCTGTTTTCTTCCAGGATTTTCTTGTCTTTTTATTTTTTTTTATTTTTTAAATATTTTATTTATTCATGAGAGAGAGAGAGAGAGAGAGGCAGAGGGAGAAGCAGGCTCCCAAGGAGCAGGGAGCCCGATGCGGGACTCGATCCCAGGACCCCGGGATCATGACCTGAGCCGAAGGCAGACGCTCAACCATCTGAGCCACCCAGGCGCCCTTGCTTGTCTTTTTAATGCTCTCTTCTTAGCCAAGCCTTTGTGGTTTTTCTTTCACCTTGACCCTTTCTTCCCCCGAATAAGCCATCCACCTTCTCCTTCCTCTCCACCACTTCTCCCCAGAGTCATTCGTTTTGTACGCTGAACCCTCTCTGACGAGCCTCAGTCCGTCCTGCCCGCCTGTCTGCGGCTTCTCACCTCTGCTCTTGATTTCAGGGAGTGGTGTCTGTGGCCGTGGGGCAGGCTTCCCAGGGCCTTGGCAGGCAGGCGAGGCCTGCAGTGCATTTTCTCATGAAGCTCCCTGCCAGGGCTTGAACTTCTCCCTGGCGGTGGCCACCCTGCTGTCTGCAGACTACTGTTCGCCTACCTGCCCGAGCTCCCCCATTGCTACCCTCAGCCCCTCGGGGGATGATGTCAAAAGTGGGGTTGTTTCCTTGGAATACAATGGAAATTATATTTTCTAAAAAATCACTGTTGGTAAAATAGCTCTTGGGCCCTTGAATTCGACTTATTACCTTCCCTCAGTACCATCTTGTGTGTTATGTTTTTCAGGGAGTAGATAGTTTGGTAAGTAGGGATTATTTTCAGTGTAATTGCAATTTCAAATAAATCTTAAATTTTCTTATTCATTTCTCTGAAAATTAGTAATACAGAGATGGAAAGAACTGTGCCTGTCATAAAGTTACTGTGACATTCTGAGGATGGCACATCACATCATAAGCACTATATATGTGTTGCTATTATTAGTGAATTTTGAAGTTGTTATTGTGTGCATAGATTACCTAGACTTACTCCCTCTTTCTTGCACCCCCTCTCCCCCAAAATTCTTCCATCTAAGACAGAGAACCACACACCGTTCTGTGGCTGTTTGGTGAATAGTTTATTGGACTTTGTAGATAGCATCGCTCTTCCTCCTGGAAATTTCTTAAAAGATACTTCTTGGTCTTGCTCTCCTCAGATGCTTAACCAGAATGGGAACTCAGTATTTGTAGGCAGCCTAATCAGTTGTGGGAACCACAACTCAATATCAACAGTACATGCTGTCAGTGTCTTCTTTTCCAGTGTTACTACCTCTTTTATACCTTATGCTATTTATGAATGCTGTTATGTAATTTGGGGAATCTCAAAGATTTAATGCTACTTTTATTTTTTATTTTTATTTTTGTTTTTTTTTTAAGATTTTGTTTATTTATTTGACAGAGAGAGACACAGCGAGAGAGGGAACTCAAGCAGGGGGAGGGGGAGAGAGAGAAGCAGGCTTCCCGCCAAGCATGGAGCCCAATGCGGGGCTCGATCCCAGGACCCTGGAATCGTGACCTGAGCCGAAGGCAGACGCTTAACGACTGAGCCACCCAGAAGCCCCTTAATGCTACTTTTAATCATGGTGTCCGTTCCGTTCTGGTTGGGGCAATGGGAGTCAGGGGCTAGCTCCTCACCAGACCCTGAAGCCCAAATAGTGCCCCTTACTCTCTTGTGGCCCCCGCCTCATTCCCTCATCAGTAAAAAGAAGGGTTTGGACCAGATTCTCTGGAGCTTGAGAACTTTAAAAACCCGCATTGTCTCTTCTTGTTGCCTTGGAAGGAAGGGCTAGACCAGCACCATCCAATAAAAATAGAATGTAAGCCACTTAATGTAATTTTAAATTTTCTAGTAGCTACATTAAAAGAAAAGGCGAAATTAATTTTAATAAAGTTTTATTTAGCCCAATGAATCTGACATTATCGTGTCAACATGTAATCAACATAAAAATGATTAGATATTTTACTTTTTTTTTTTTTTTTTTGCTCTGCTACATCTTTGAAATCCAGTGTGTCCTTACACTTACAACACATCTTCATTTGGACTAGCCACATTTCCAGTCCTCGGTAGCCATGGGACTAATGGCTGCCATCAGGGGCAGTGTGGGGCTTTCTGGAGCACCTGGAGTCAGTCCTATGACCCGCTCGTGTCCGGAGGAGCCACGGCCTACATCCTCAGTTGGCCTTTTCACTCTGTGGCTGGAATTTAGAAAGCAGGGACTAACAGGAGATCATCTGAACTTGGGTCTTTCGTAAGCCTTGATTTTCTCAAATAACATTACCCCCTCAGTCTGAAAGTGACTCAGTTGATGCTTTAAGACGCCTTCTGCCCACGTGGAGTTTTGGAGAAGTGCTCCCAGAGGGTATGCAGAAGGCCTGGCTGCTTCTAGCAACTGCAGACAAAGAGAGACGATGCAGTTTTCCATGATGTTAGGGAATAGTATCAGCTTAACCTTCCATTACCCAGAGCCAGGGTTGGGAGGGTAAGGGAATTTCTCATGGGTATGGAAAATTAAGAAATAAATCAAGCAATAAATCAAGACTTTGTCTTTGTCTTTTCATTTAGTGGAATAGAAGATGAACTCAACTGAATTCAGTGAAGATGTAGAAGAAGGTAAAAAAAAAAAAGCTTCTTTTTAAAAAATATTTTTAATTTAGTATTTTTTATTAGGTCATACACTACATGGTTCAAAAATAAAAAGTTAACATAATGAAAAATCAATGAAAAGTCCCCTCCCACCCCTGGTTCCCAGCCCCCTCTGCCTATACACCTGCCGGAGGTGTCTTATGTATCTTCCCAGAGTTACTTTTTTAAAAGTATCATTTCAAAGATAGTATTTGTTTCTTTCTCTCTGTTTCCTGTCTTTCCCCGCAAGAAGGAATTTAAAACCAGTTTTGAGCAAAAAGTTCTTGGAACATGGTTTTATTGTATAGCATTAACGTGGTAAGATAAAAATCGCTAGGTTTGGAAAGTGCGGTTTTATTGTGACTAGACTTTATGTTATCTGAGTGATAGTGTCAGAGGGCAGCCCGCACACACCCCGTTGCTCAGGGAACCCTGCTAACCTCCGAGTGGCCCAGTGGTCTTTCCCGCTGAGCCCTGTTTCTTCTCTGCCACAGTTCTAAAAAATAACACTGTGAAAGTGGAGACAGAGGCCGAAGATGCTGCCCTGGACTGCTCGGTGAGCTCCAGGTCTTCCGAGAAGCACCCTCTGGACAGCGTCTTCACTGCCCTCCAGGATTCCAGCAAGCGAAAGCAGCCGGGCGGCGATGGCCAGCCTGACTCTGTCCCCAGCGTGAAGAGGCGGCGGCTGATTCCCGAGGTGAGGGCCCAGCCCCTTCCGCTGTTTGCTTGGGCTCTGACCCTCTGATTAGATGCTCTGTCTCTCTACTTGTGGGCATCCAGGCAACTGCTGGGCCCTTGGGCATGAGAAGGCTTTCATTGCAGCTCTCCCATCTCTGGCTTAAATTTCTAGAATGTGTCCTCTTTGACTAGAATTCTTATATATGTCTGGATTCATTACGGGGCTAGGGGAGTCTTCACAATGCAACCACTTTTGAGTTCTTTGTTTTGCTTTGCTCCACTCGATAGCAAGGGCTGTTAAGAAAAGCCTACCGCATTTTATGTAGTACACGCTGTACACAGATTGCTGGAAAAGTTGAGGGTTGGGAGGTCTTTTCCTAAATCAAGCCCATCTTTTGTATTAGGAGAACTTGCTCACTGAATCTTTTTTGTAAAGAGAATTCTTTTGTAACATACCTGTTTCCCCCCAACCTGCAAATTTTATGAATTTGCTTTATTTTTTTCATCACCTGCTGGTTAGATTGAACTTGACTAAATTCTTTTTTTTTTTTTTTAAGATTTATTTATTTATTTGAGAGAGAGAGCATGAGCGGAGGGGCAGAGGGAGAGGGAGAGAGAGAAAGAGTCCCAAGCGGACTCCACGCTGAGCACGGAGCCTGACGGAGGGCCTGATTTCATGACCCTGAGATCACAACCTGAGCTGAAACCAGGAGTTGGATGCTTAACTGACTGTACCACCCAGGCGCCCCTGAACTTGGCTAAACTCTTTTTTTTCTTTTTTTTTTTTAAAGATTTTATTTCTTTATTTGAGAGAGAGAATGAGAGAGAGTGTGAGAGCACATGAGAGGAGGGAGGGTCAGAGGGAGAAGCAGACTCCCCGCTGAGCAAGGAGCCCGACGTGGGACTCGATCCTGGGACTCCAGGATCATGACCTGAGCCGAAGGCAGTCGCTTAACCAACTGAGCCACCCAGGTGCCCTTGGCTAAACTCTTAAGAGAGAGAGACAACAGAACTGGACATGGTGGCCCCCTCTAGCAGCCTACAGTCCAGGTGGGAGACAAGACATGTACACAGAATGGTTAAGACCAAGGAAAGAGCGGCAGCTTTAGGACATTGGGTCTAGCCTGGGATGCTTAACCTCCAAGCCTTCCCATGAGCCAGCCGACTACACCTTAAATTGTTAGAAGGTTATTTTCCCAAGCTCTCCAACATAGACAGACAGACACACAAGCTCTTTGGGGGAGCCAGATAGGAATTCAACTTCTGCATGTCTGTCCAAAAGAGCGCACATTTTCAGAGCTCATTATCATTAGCCAGAACACCATGGAGCATCAGCCTGGGACTCTTTGGGTCGTTACTGTTTTGTTTTTTTTTTTAAGATTTTATTTATTTATTTGACAGAGACACAGCGAGAGAGGGAACACAAGCAGGAGGAGTGGGAGAGGGAGAAGCAGGCTTCCCGCAGGGCAGGGAGCCTGATGCGGGGCTCGATCCCAGGACCCTGGGATCATGACCTGAGCCGAAAGCAGACGCTTAATGACTGAGCCACCCAGGCGCCCTGTGTGGCCTTTTATGTCTGGCTTCTTTCACTTAGCATAATGTTTTCAAGGTTCATCCATGCTATAGCATGGATGAGGTCTTCACTCCTTTTTTATGGCCAAATAATACTCCGTTGTAAACATACCACATTTTGTTTATCCATTCATCAGTTGATAGACATTTGGGTTGTTTCCACTTGTTGACCATCATGAGTAATATTCCAACAATACATTTTAAAAAATCGATAATGCCCACCTAGGAAAAAAGTTGAAATTTTTTATAACTGTGAGCATTTTTTTTTTAAAGATTTTATTTATTTATCTGACAGAAACAGTGAGAGAGGGAACACAAGAAGGGGGAGCGGGAGAGGAAGAAGCAGGCTTCCCGCAGAGCAGGGAGCCTGATGTGGGGCCCAATCCCAGGACCCTGGGATCATGACCTGAGCCGAAGGCAGCCGCTTAACCGACTGAGCCACCCTGGTGCCCGCATTTTTTTTTTTTTTGAGAGACAGAGAACACAAGCAGGGTGAGTGGCAAGACGCAGACTCCCCGCTGAGCAGGGAGCCCGATGCAGGGCTCGATCCCAGGACCCTGAAATCATGACCTGAGCTGAAGGCAGACGCTTAATGACTGAGCCACCCAGGCGCCCTATATGAGCATTTTAAATAAAGGGTTAACGCGTCGGGCTCCCTGCTCCTTGGGAGCCTGCTTCTCCCTCTGTCTCTCTCTCTCTCTGTCTTTCATGAATAAATAAATAAAATCTTTAAAAAAAATAAATAAATAAATAAATAAAGGGTTAATTACGGATATCCCGCCCTTGGCTCTGGGTGCTCTGGCTGCCCACCCTGGCCGCCTGCTGCATGCCTTGTGATCCTGGGGAGAGTTTCATGTGTGGCTAGCAGGCTCCAGTGCAGTGAGAAATGATTGCAGACGAAATCTCAGCCTTCCTCACTGCTGAGTGAGATCCATGCTGGGCAAATACAAGCTCTAAGGTGGTTAGTTGAAGAGCTTGTTTGAAAATCATGTAACCATTTTTTTTTTATGTTTTATTTTACACCATAATTTATTATCCTTTCCCCTAATGATTGCTAGATAGATGTCCACTAACATGTTTAGTGCTGCGGGGACCATCCATGTACGTAAACCTAGTGCCCTCTGTGAGTGTTCCTGTGGGTTAGATACCTAGAGGTCACCCAACAAGCGTTGAGAAGCTTGAGAAGCACTGTTAAGTTCCTAACAGAACTCCTGAAAACGTTTTCTTCTGTGTGTCACATTACATTTCTACCTCGGATCCATTCTGTAGAATCTTTCAAGCGTGCAAGTAAAGCCAGACTTCCAGAAATGGGACACCAAGTCCAGTGTGTTGGTTCACTTTTGCTGTGGGACAAACCGTCCCGGATCTTAGCAGCTTAAAATGGCCACCATTATATTTGTTTGCCGTTCTGTGGGTCAGCTGGTAGTTCCTGATGTGGCTAGGTGGTCTGGAATGGCCTCCCTCCCGTTTCTGGGGGCTCAGGTGCAGCTTCCCGTTCTGCGGGTTCTCACCCCCGGGAGGCTAGTCCAGGTCTATTCGTGTAACATGGAAGCATTCTAAGAGCAAGAGAGGCCAAGCTCTGGGGCACAGACGCTTCTCACACCTCTGCTTGCATCACCTCGTTAGCTGACGTCCCTCTGGTCAAAGCAGGTGACACGGGCCAGCCTGCCCACAAGGGCTGTAAGAACAGGCTCCACCCCTGATGGTAGGAGCAACAAACTCACATTGCAGAGAGGCTTTCACACAAGGATGGGGCAGCTCTTGTGGCGGTTTTTATAAAGAGTTCACCACAGTAAGGAACAACAAGCCCATCAGGAAGGAACTCTGACCATGTCTGCCTGGGTTGTGGCCTTTGTGGACAGTCTGAGGTGGTCCCATTGTCTCCTTATGCGAATGGAGTCACTTTATCCTTTCATTCCATACAATTTTGTTGGAATGGCATCCCAGAGAAGGGAGTGTCTTCGCATTCTTGGGGGCAGAGAGAGAAGGAGAAGGTTCTTAAGATTTGTGTTTTCGTTGAATCCTTCGGTACATGAAGCAAGTCAGAAAAAAACCTGGCCTTGGGCTGGAACTCCGTTGAGGTTCGCGGTGGAGGGATTTCCCTGAGCATCCCATGAACCATGTGTGAGGATTTTGGATGCCTCCCAGTTTGGTGAGGCAGCAAGCTTCAGCTGGGACCTCAGGCATCATCCTGGAATTCTGACACATTTGGAGAATTCTGACACCAAAATGTATTTGAATATTTCTTTTTTTTTTTTTAAGATTTTATTTATTTATTTGACAGAGACACAGCGAGAGAGGGAACACAAGCAGGGGGAGTGGGAGAGGGAGAAGCAGGCTTCCCACCGAGCAGGGAGCTCCATGCGGCGCTTGACCCCAGGATTATGACCTGAGCCGAAGGCAGATGCTTAACGACTAAGCCACCCAGGCGCCCCTATTTGAATATTTCTAACATCACTTGTCCAACTTACATATTCTAACTGGGCAGGTATGTTTACTTTTCAATAGAGTGGAGACAGCAGGCAGTTCTAACCTGTTAGATTTTAGACTGGAAAAGACAGGTTAAGTCCTGGATTTTGTTTTGGGTATTTTACTAGTTTCGTTTATTCTCCTTACTGTATATAAAATGAGGTTGATATCCATGCCCCCCTTCCTGTTCTGTAAAAAGAATATATGGAAGTATGAACCTTTTGAAATTCTTGAGCTCCTTATAGAAAGGTGTCATGTGAATTCAAGGCAGTATTTCCTTTTAAAAGTATCTGTAAGTTGATGTGTCAGTAAATCAATAGCCTCAGTACCCTTGGGATTTTAGAACAATCCATCAGTTTTATGAAATTACAGTATATGTTGATTTTTCAAAATGGCACTAGTCCTAATTCACAGTGAATAGTCCTTTATCCTTCTCCCCCTGAATTTTCTCTGATCCTTCTTACAGATAAGGCGGCAGGGGTGGCAGGGGGGGCAAATGCAGCTTTTTTGCCAGAGTGAGACAAGAGGATCCAGGAGGCCGAAACAAGTGATCATCCAAAAAAGTGGAAAGGAAGTTCATGAGCAGTGACTGAGTGCCTACTTGACACCATTCCTTATTTAATCCAAATGACAAACCAGTGATGAGAGAATTAATAGCTCTACCAGACAGATGAGTCAATTCCGGCATGGAAGTTGGAGCACCAGGATGCCAGTGGGCAGCCTTGTTCCTGGTGCAAAGTATCAGGAGTGGACTGGGATCACTCACTCCCTGCATCTGGGGAGGCGAGCCCCACCTTCTCTGATCCAGCCCAGAGGAATAGTAAATAGTTAACCTGGGAGTCAGATGGGGAGAGTTCACCCTGGGGCCTTTGGCCAATTATCTGACCTCCCAGACTCTCAAGATCCCCCGTGGTGATGAGAGAGAATTCTGCTCATCTCATTGGTTTCTTGTGCGTGAGGGAGCCCAGCACAGGGCCT